ACAATTTAGCCATGCATGATTGGCTCATGTCTGTAGTCCTGGCTACTTGGGAGGCCGAGGCAAGAGGATCACCTGAGCTCAGAAGTTCAAGGCTGCAATGAGCCAAGATCATGCCACTGTATTCCAGCCTGGGTGACAGAGGGAGACCCTGTCTCAAAAAAAAAAAAAAAAAAAAAAAAATCATAGGAGGTGAGGTAGGCAGGCAGCAGGGAGAAGGAAAGATGAACTTCAAAGACTGGAGTGAAAATAGAATATCCTGGGGAAGGGGGCTGTACTCACTGTCCATTGTCGATGTTAGTGTTCTGAATCAAGTTTTGGGCTGCAACCTTCATCAAGGTCTAGTCAAAACAAAAACAAAATATGTGGGAGGTGGAAAAACAAAAGGGAGTATCTTTGGCAGATCTACACTGTTCCTTAAGATCACACAATCTCAGGCCATCATTTCACCTGGCACCTTCTCTCTTGACTTTCCAAAGTAATACGTACTTATTTCCATTCCTACAGCTGTCACCACTCCATCTTCCCAGAGGCCTGCCCTCACCTGAGCTTCTCGCCAATAACCTAAGCATCCTCCCTCATCTAGCAATCAAGGGCAGAATCTCTGTATAAGCCAGTCCTCTCCTCAGCCTTTAATGACCACAGCCCAGTTTCTCCTTTAAACAACCCTTCACGCAAGCTCCAGCCAATCCCAGCCTCAACATCAGCGCTGATGCCATTTCTGCCGAGCTTCGCTTAGGTCTCAAATAAAACAGGTTTTGGCCGGGCGGGGTGGCTCACGCCTGTAATCCAAGTACTTTGGGAGGCTGAGGCGGGTGGATGAGGAGGTCAGGAATTCGTGGTGGCGTACCCCCTGTAATCCCAGCTACTCAAGAGGCTGAGACGGGAATCGCTTGAACCTGGGAGGTGGAGGTTGCAGCTAGCCGAAGATCATGCTACTGCACTCCAGCCTAAGTGACAGCGCAAGACTCTGTCTCAAAAATAAATAAATAAACAGGGCCGGGCGCGGTGGCTCACGCTTGTAAACCCAGCACTTTGGGAGGCCGAGGTGGGCGGATCACAAGGTCAGGAGTTCGAGACCAGCCTGGCCAACATAGTGAAACCCCGTCTCTACTAAAAATACAAAAATTAGCCGGGTGTGGTGGCACACGCCTGTGGTCCCAGCTACTTGGGAGGCTGAGGCAGGAGAATCGCTTGAACCCGGGAGTCGGAGGCCAGCCTCGGTGACCGAGTGAGACTCCGTCTCAAAAACAAACAAAAAAACAAGTTTTTGTTCTTGCTTTTTTGAGACGGGATTCTCGCTGTGTTGCCCAGGCTGGAGTAAAATGGCGCGATCTCGGCTCACTGCCACCTCCTGGGTTCAAGCAATTCTCCTTCCTCAGGTTCCAGAGTAGCTGGGATTACAGGCGCGCGCCACTATGCCCGAGTAATTTTTGTATTTTTAATAGAGACGGGGTTTCACCAGGCTGGTCTTGAACTTCTGACCTCAAGTGATCCACCCGCCTCGGCCTCCAAAAGTGCTGGTAACACAGGCGTGCGGCACCACGCCAGGCCAACACAGCAGGTATTACTCCTCTTTCAGCTTAGCGCTCTCTCCGACTAACGTGGCCCTTGGCCCGCCCCTCTGAAGTTAGACTACCAAATCCCGTTTGTTTTTCGCTGCTTCCGGCCAATCACCTGTAGACTCTCCTTCAGCTGCGGGATGAGCATCTTATAACGCTGCACAGGATCGAAGTCCTGTTGCTGTTGCTGCAGAAGGCCGCTCTGGGCAGGGCCCACGAGTTGTGCTGGCGGTTGCGGCTGCTGCTGGGGACCCGGGCCGCCAGCCGAACTGGGACCCGATACACCAGCAGCTGAGGAAGCCGCTGAAGCTTGCTGTTGGGATGAGGCCATCTTCTTCACGGACCGCCGGAAGTGCGTCACAAGTGTGTCTCTGCTGGTTGCTTTTCAGCATCCCCGTCTCTAGTCCCCGTTTGCTAATAGTCCCGCCTCTCAGGCAATTCAGCCAATGGAAGGGAAGGAGGTGCCCTCACGTTCCGTCACTCCCAAATCCGAGGTTCAGACTGAGATATCTTTCCACCAATCACAGAAGCATGTCTCTCCCTCGCTCCGCCCTTCACCCAGACGCTCGCCAATCCATGTGTGGTTCCAACCCGGACTTCATTTCCCCGCAGGCGTTGCACCCTGAGGAGACTCGTCGGGTCCTCAGCGTCTTGGCGGCAGTTGGTTGGAACAGCAGCTTCGAGTCCGTCCCCAGTGCTGCCTGAGTGTTCACCTGAGTCTCGCTGGAGCTCTTCTCGCCCGCCCACCTCATCTCAACCCACTTTCCGCGGAGAGCGGCGCCAACCCGGGCCTGCCTTGGATCAGGCGTCCCCTGAAGTCGGCACGCCCCTCCGCGTCCCCCTTCAGCCCCGCTAGGACCCCGTCCGGGCTGCCGTCGCCTCGTCGCTATGGCGCCCACCATCCAGACCCAGGCCCAGCGGGAGGATGGCCACAGGTAGGCGCCACGCTTTCCTCACTATTTCATCAAGGCGGGGGATCGGGAAAGGGTTTCTGCTGAACAACGTCACCAGCCCCCAGGTCTGCCCGTGACGTCACGGAGCGCTCACCTTTGACGAAGGGGGCGGGTTTCTTCTGAGACGCAGGTGTTGCTCTCCTCCCCTGCCGTGCAATTCAGGGATTAAGCTCTTGGAGACCTCTAGAAGGGATTCCTCCAGTCAAGTGTTTGAAGATCGCTCTTCCAAAGACGATTGAGTACATGGTTCTTTATGAAAACACTTGAAGTCATCCCCTGCAAAAGGGATTGAGCACTTGGCCTTGTTCATTAAAGCTTTTGGGTGCACTTCTTCCTAAAGAAATTGAACATTTGTCTCCCTCTATTAAAGCATTTGGCCACCCCCACCACCAAAACCAACCAGCATTTGTCACCCTCCCACCTTTTGAAAGGTTGGAGAAGACTTTTTCATTCTCCTGTCAATCCCGTCGTCTCCACCTATCACTGTTTTCTTTCTTCTCTACTAGGCCCAATTCCCACCGGACTCTGCCTGAGAGGTGAGCCCCACTGTGCTTTCCCAGGAGCGGTGGGGCAGTAGGGCTGGGAGCAGAGGCGGGGCAGCGGGGGCCCATTTTGAGCCACTGTGTTCCTAGGTCTGGAGTGGTCTGCCGAGTCAAGTACTGCAATAGCCTCCCTGATATCCCCTTCGATCCCAAGTTCATCACCTACCCCTTCGACCAGAACAGGTGAGACTAAGGAATGGGAACACTACTCAGGTATCAGTTCCTTGAAGGCAGGGACTGCTTGTCTTGTTGGCTCCTGTCTGCTCAGGGCCTCACACAGTACCCACCTAGCACATAGTAGTAGCTGCTCAATGTTTGTTAATGAGTGGAGCAAGCAGTGTCCAAGTCCCTTCCCACTGGGGAGCCAGTTTCACATTCCGCTATGGGGGACACTTCATTCTGAGTTCCTCCCCACAGAAGTTTCACCTCTGGGAAGCAGGGCTGTGAGGGCTGAAGCTGGAATCCAGACACCACAATAGGTGTTTCCCCACCCAGGTTCGTCCAGTACAAAGCCACTTCCTTGGAGAAACAGCACAAACATGACCTCCTGACTGAGCCAGACCTGGGGGTCACCATCGATCTCATCAATCCTGACACCTACCGCATCGACCCCAATGGTGTGTGGGGAAACAGGGAGGGTCTGCTCTAGGTCAGCAAAGGCCCAGGCCTGGGCCTCCCTCATGGTCCTCCTGCCTCCTCGCTCTCCTCTAGTTCTTCTAGATCCAGCTGATGAGAAACTTTTGGAAGAGGAGATTCAGGCCCCTACTAGCTCCAAAAGGTGAGTGGGTGCCAAATGGGTACTGGTGACTGGCTCAGTTGGGCCCTACAAGCAGGAGGGCGGTCGGGTCTTGAGGTACCTGATTTCCTACCCCAGATCCCAGCAGCACGCGAAGGTGGTGCCATGGATGCGAAAGACAGAATACATTTCCACTGAGTTCAACCGTTATGGCATCTCCAACGAGAAGCCTGAGGTCAAGTAAGTTGCAAATAAGAAGAGGGGAAGGTGGAGATACCAGGTGTGTCCAGTGGCCACTAAAGGCCTTTTTCTTCACTTCTAGGATTGGGGTTTCCGTGAAGCAGCAGTTTACCGAGGAAGAAATATACAAAGACAGGGATAGCCAGATCACAGCCATTGAGAAGACTTTTGAGGATGCCCAGAAATCAGTAATTGAGGGACTGGGATGGGAAGAGGCAAGGGTGTGGCTGCAGAGCTCTTCCTCAGCCTGTTTTTGCCCCACCAGATCTCCCAGCATTATAGCAAACCCAGAGTCACACCGGTGGAGGTCATGCCTGTCTTCCCAGATTTTAAGGTCAGGCCCAGGGTGGGAGGTAGAAAGGGACAGCCTCCATTTGTGCTTGTTCCCATCTAATCCCAGTGCCTACCGTCTTCCTAGATGTGGATCAATCCATGTGCTCAGGTAATCTTTGACTCAGACCCAGCCCCCAAAGACACAAGTGGTGCAGCCGCGTTGGAGATGATGTCTCAGGCCATGATTAGGTAGGTGGTCCTGCTGCCTACCTTAGCCTGCTCCTTGCTGCCTTTTGTCCTCACACTTCATTGCTACTCCTTTTTCCCCAACCAGGGGCATGATGGATGAGGAAGGGAACCAGTTTGTGGCCTATTTCCTGCCTGTAGAAGAGACGCTGAAGAAACGAAAACGTGACCAGGAGGAGGAGATGGATTATGCACCAGATGATGTGTGCGTGGGCTGGGGTTAAGTTTTGGGGATTGAGAAGTGTGTCCCCTTTTCTCCCTCATAAGGAGAAAATGGGGCTGAAGCTGTGCCTTCATCCTCAGGTATGACTACAAAATTGCTCGGGAGTACAACTGGAACGTGAAGAACAAAGCTAGCAAAGGCTATGAGGAAAACTACTTCTTCATTTTCCGAGAGGGTGACGGGGTTTACTACAATGAGTTGGAAACCAGGTACTCGGCGCACTCCTATCTTATTAGCCTAGATCTGTGCTTCTTTTTTTTTTTTTTTTTTTTTTTTTTTGAGAGGGAGTTTCGCTCTCGTTACCCAGGCTGGAATGCAATGGCGCGATCTCGGCTCACCGCAACCTCCGCCTCCTGGGTTCAGGCAATTCTCCTGCCTCAGCCTCCTGAGCAGCTGGGACTACAGGCACGCGCCACCATGCCCAGCTAATTTTTTGTATTTTTAGTAGAGACGGGGTTTCACCATGTTGACCAGGATGGTCTTGATCTCTTGACCTCGTGATCCACCCGCCTCGGCCTCCCAAAGTGCTGGGATTACAGGCTTGAGCCACCGCGCCCGGCCGATCTGTGCTTCTTAAGAACCTGGGGCATGCAAGAGCCACCTTGGAGGTCATTTGTACCTAAGAATTTGTTGTATGCATTAATAAACAAGAGCAGCAGATGTCTGGTCAGGCACATGTGCTGGACTAGGTTCTAACAGGAGAAGCCAGAAATTTTTTTTTTGAGACAGAGTCTCGCTGTGTCACCCAGGCCGGAGTGCAGTGGCACGATCTCGGCTCACTGCAACCTCTGCCTTCTGGGTTCAAGTGATTCTCCTGCCTCAGCCTGAGTAGCTGGGATCACAGGTGTGTGCCAGCATGGCATGGCGGCTAATTTTTTTTGCATTCTCATTCACCCTGTTGAATGAGACTTTGTATGAGGCTTATTGATATCGCTAATATAAAGGTTTGATAAAGAACTTAGGGATAAAAAAGATGGGGTTTTCTAACGTGAGGATTAAGGCTACACTTCAAATTAAAAAGGCTTATGTTGGAAAAAAAAAAAAAAAAGCCACTGCACCTGGCCAGAAAGAAAATCTTAATGCAGGAGAATTTAGAGATTTTGGGTAGGGTAGAGGGACAGATTTCTCAGTTATTAGTAACAGACTTCACATGAAAGTAAACACTGCCGAAGTATGGAGTGATACATAAAATCAGCATGAATGTTTTAAATGAAATGCTTAATACCCATGTTCAAAAATGTGACCCCAAAACTTCCCTGATGGCTGAAAGTTTACTGCTATGCCGATGCCTCTGGTTTGGAGTTGGGAAGGCTTGAGTTTCTGTTTAAAGCAGAGATCACAAGTTCTGATCCCATAGGCCAGGCAGGAAATGTAAAAGAGCAGTGGTCTGGTAGAGTCTGAGTGACCTGGAGCTCTGGGCAACCATGGAGAGCATTATTCACTTCCAGCCTACTGTGGCTATGCTGTGGGGCCAGAAATTCCTACTTTCCAAAAGAACCAAATCCAGATGATTTCTTCGTTTCTCAGAGTGCTGGTAACTAATTGACATATACAGTCATGCACTGCACGTTTCTGTCAACAATGGACTGCTTATGGGTGATCTCTCAAGATAGAATACCGTATCTTTACTATACCTTTTCTTTTTCCTTTTTTTTTTCTTTTAATAGATGGGGTTTCACCATGATGGCCAGGCTGGTCTTGAACTCCTGACCTCAGGTGATCCACCCACCTCGGCCTCCCAAAGTACTAGGATTACAGGCGTGAGCCACCGCGCCCGGCCTTTGCTGTTCCTTTTCTAAGTTTAGATACATAAATACTTACCATTGTGTTGTAACTGCCTGCAGTGTTCAGTACAGTCACATGCCGTACAGCTTTGTAGCCTAGGAGCAACAGGCTACACCATTACAGCCTAGGTATGTAGTTGATTGTACTATGTTTGTACAAGTGCATTGTATGATGCTCACATGATGTATTAACAGGATGTATCCCTAAGTGGCCTGTGCCTGTATTTACGTAAATAGACCATATAACACACCCCCCACACACAGGGTGTAGGGCAACCAAACTGGTGCCATGGGAGCCATCCGTCCTCTCCCCTGCCCTCACTACTTTGAGCTTAGTTGCCCTTATTCAATCTGTATTTATTCTCATTTGCTCTGAGCCAAGTATCAATGGGGAACCAAGTCAGACCGGACTCTTCACAGCGGAGGCGGTGGAGGGGAGTGGGAGGTATGTCTTTAACTGCATCTTCCACTTCTCTCCCCCAAATTCACCTGCAGGGTCCGCCTTAGTAAGCGCCGGGCCAAGGCTGGGGTTCAGTCAGGCACCAATGCCCTGCTTGTGGTCAAACATCGGGACATGAACGAGAAAGAATTAGAAGCCCAGGTAACACGCACCACTGGCCCAGGGCATACATGGCAGGGAGGGCAGTGGTTGTAGGTGAGGAGGGGGAGAAAAACCCAACAGAACACCCTCCTTTCCCTCATTCCAACCTTGCTGCTTCCAGGAGGCACGGAAGGCCCAGCTAGAAAACCACGAACCAGAGGAGGAAGAGGAAGAGGAGATGGAGACAGAAGAGAAAGAAGCTGGGGGCTCAGGTAAATCTGAACAGGTCAGACCCTGGGAGCCCTGGGAGGGTGGAAAAGTGGGCCTCACCCTTTCCATTCCCTTCCAGATGAGGAGCAGGAGAAAGGCAGCAGCAGTGAGAAGGAAGGCAGTGAGGATGAGCGCTCGGGCAGCGAGAGTGAACGAGAGGAAGGTGACAGGGATGAGGCCAGTGACAAGAGTGGCAGTGGCGAGGATGAGAGCAGCGAGGATGAGGCCCGGGCTGCCCGTGACAAAGAAGAGATCTTTGGCAGTGATGCTGATTCAGAGGATGATGCCGACTCTGATGATGAGGACAGAGGACAGGCCCAAGGTGGCAGTGACAATGATTCGGACAGCGGCAGTGATGGGGGTGGCCAGCGGAGCCGCAGCCGCAGCGCCAGTCCCTTCCCCAGCGGCAGCGAGCACTCAGCCCAGGAGGATGGCAGTGAAGCTGCAGCTTCTGATTCCAGTGAAGCTGACAGTGACAGTGACTGAGTCCCAGGGCATTCAGGGCTGGTTCAGACACCACTATTATGAGCAGGAAGGCACTTTTCTAGTGGTCTGTTTGTGAGCCTTTCACTTGTTTGTCCCCCACCCCCAAACCTTTGCTGTTAATAAAGCCAATTTCTCTTTACTTCCCTCCCTGCCCCTACCTCATCCTTCAGCCCAGGGCACACCTCCCCCTAACCCCCAGGTGCTCCAAGACCTCAGCTTGAGGCTTAGAAACACAGGCCAGAGGCAGGGCCAATGGTTTCCCACAAAATGTAGCACAACAAAGGTCAGAATTCGTTTTTTTTTTTTTTTTTTTTTTCCAAAATAAGCCCAGACCATTAAACAAGTGAAACTCCAACAAATAAGTCTTCTCCAACAGCGAGAAAAACTGTACAGTTACTCAAAGCTGATTCTGCCAGTGGGGCTGGGGACATAAGTGGGTAGGGAGGACGAAATCATGGAGTAGGGCCTGGGGAGGGGGCTGGAGTGGGAGAGGGTCAGTCCTGCCCATCAGAGTGGGGCCGCCTGCGTCCTGCACACTCTGCTGTCAGGTGGGGTGGGGGGCAGCTTTTGCCTCCCTGTGTGTGTGAGACGGTGTCCCTCACCACCTCCCAGTGCCAGGCACAGTCAGCTCACCCTGATGGAGAGTGAACAAGACAGGACAGGCTGGGGAGAGGGGAGGGTCCCATGAGAGGGACACCCTGCTGATTCCATCCCACTTCCTGCATCTAGTGGGAGGGGGACTGGAGAAGCCCTGGGAGATTGAGGGGATGAGCAAAGGCACAGAAACATGGAGGGCCGGGGTGGGGGACTTGCATAGGTTGATGAGTGTGCAAGAGGTACATAAATAAACCTGACACCCCACCCAGCCCGGCACTGGGAGAGGAAGTGGGGACCCAGAGGCAGGTTCCCAGGGCCACCCTACCCCCTGGCTTCTTCCCCCTCCCTGGGCTCAGAGCAGAGGGAGGTCCACAGACCAGGAGGGAGGGGGCAAGAAGGTCTGGGGAATGGGGTGATAGTGCAGGGAGGGTGGTGGTTTTAAAATTTTTTTTTTTTTGGTTTTTTTGTTTTTTTCCCAACATTTTGTATCTTTAATAACATACACAATGGTTACCAGCCATATTCATAACAAAAGTTATTCATAAAATGTATCTAAAAATAACATTTTTTTTTCCTTTTCGGTGTGAAAAGCTTGAGAATGTCCCAGTGGGGAGGGTGGGTTGAGAGGGAGGAGGGTGTTGAAGAGGGAGACCCTGGCTTCCCCGTAGTCTGAACCCCCAAATCCCCTCCCACCACCTGGGCCCCAACACAACCCCTCATTAGGAATAGGGACCAGACGGTCTGTCAGACTCTGGGACTGGAACGAATCTCTGGGTTATGATATAGTGTTTCACTTAAGTGAGGTCATGACATAATGGGGGAGGAGGAAAGGCTAAAAGAAAAGGGAGGGGCTTGGGGAAAAACCCAAAAACCAAACAATCCCCTTTCCCTTATTCCTGACTCCCGAGTCTCACCAACCAGACCTGGGAGCGGAGAAGGGTGTGTATTCATGGGGAAGGGGACGTTAAGGCAACAGACTTCCTGACCTCACTGGCCCTGGCTGCCCACCTCCAACCTCTTTATCTGGGGAGCCAGGGCTGGAGGAAAATGGGTTAGAGCTTGGGGGTCTGGAGGAGGGGGCTCTGCCCTCTCCCCTCATAAAGTTCAGGCTCCCCCTGCCACTGTCTTGGCTCAGAGAGAAGCCAGGGGATTCTAAAAATGAGAGGGAATGATCAGAGAAAAACCGTTAAGAACTATATAAATATGTATCTTAAATAGGCCTAAGAAATTAATCATAGAGAACCTCTCGTGAACAGGGCCAGGGGAGGTGAGAGAGGAAGGTGGCTCCTGTCCTGGGAGAATGTGGGGAATGGTGAAGGGGAAGAAGGTGGAGACAAGAGAGGGCTTCCTCTCCTTGCTCCCCTTCTTTCTCCCCAGCTCCTCTGAATAACATTCTGGAGGGCAGGTTCTCTGCCCTGCTCATGTCGCCCCAAATGTCAAATGTTTCTGAGCAGGCTCCACAAGGTAGTGGGTCAGTCTGTCTCTGGGGAGTCTGCTCCCTTGGGGAGAGGCAGGTGGTCAGCGGTCTGGAGGAGGCAGGGGTGGGATGGGGCCAGGTGGGGATGAGGAAGGGAAGGAGAGAGGCAGGCAGTCTGGCCAGTCCCTGCCCCTTTATCCTGACTGCCCCCAACTCCCCGGGCCTCAGCAAAGATCCCTCGACGGGCCTGGGAGTGAGCAAGGCATGTGCCAATGTTAAACAAAAGTTAAAAGGGTGAGAGAGTAGAAAAATATTAGAATAGATAGCTGAGCCAGCCCACCCTCTCGCTGTTGCGGAGAAGCCCGTTGGGGGTTGGCCCCCGCCCGCCGCCCAGGGAGCCTATGGGTGCGCTGGGCTGTGGGTCCTGTCAGATGGTGGAGGTTTTGTCTGTCCCATCTGTGGTAAGAAAGGGAGGAAGGGAGGAAGATCAGGAGCTGGATGGAGGCCCAAGAAAAGGCACTCAGGTAGCCTGTCATCCCGGTCAGGCCCTCCCTGGAGTCTGGCCTCCCAGGGGACCCCTCAGGATGACTCTGAGTTGCTCAGTTCAGAGGCAGAGACGCTGGGTAGGTGGGAGCTGGGTCAGGGATAGAGGAAATGCTCACCACCCAAGGCGTGTTCTGTCATGCTCAGACACAGAGACTCCAGAGTGGGATTGATCTCCAGGTCAGGCCCAGGGACCGGGCAGTCTGGGTGGGAGAGAGGAGAATGGAGGTGGTGAGGACAGACTGGACTCGGGTGAAGAAGAGAGTTGGGATGACAAAGGATGCTGGTATGGGAAGGGAGAAAGAGAGATGGAGGGGAGAGAAAGAGATGGAGAGGGAGAGAGATGGAGGGGGAGAAAGAGAGATGGTGGGAGACAGAGATGGAGGGGAAAAAGGAAGAGGCAGAGGTGGACAGAGAGAAGGGTGAGTGTGTCGCACAGCTGGCAGAGGAGACAATGGCAATGGCAGAGGCTTGGTGACAAAGAAAAAGCCTGACTTGCAGACGGCAGAAGTGAAACTGAAGGAGCTCTTGGAGGCCACACACAGCCTGCTGTGACTACTTTAGACACAGACTGCACACTGCCTTGGGCACAGTCTGGGCATCTGCCCTGGACACTGGGCAGCCCCCTGAGGCTTCCTGACTGAAGACCTGCTCTGTACTTGGTGCAAAAGCTAAATTAAAACCTTCCTGTCCCCACTTGGACATGCTCCTCTGGGCAGGATTTGATCCAGGCAGGCCGGGCAGGTGGGGCAAAGCAGGACAACCATGGGACTTGTCCTCAAACCACACTTGGTAAAAGGGCCTCCTATTCTGGTACCTGGGAAACTACCCACCTCCCTAGGCAGACCTGATCCCCCCGACACTGCTTAAACCCTTCCCTGACTCCTCACTGCCATCAGGACAAAGTCTGAGCTGTTTACCTGGGTTTAGAAGACCCAGCTTCCATCTCCACCCTCACCTCTCATCATCATCCCCTCTGAACCTTGAGCTCATGTCGTATTAGATCACCCAACTGTCTCTCCTTAAAAAAAATTTTTTTTGAACTTGGGCAAGACATTTCTGTCTCATACAGTTGGGAGGATTCACAGCGCAGGAGAGTTGTCTGAAAGCCTGGCACATAGCATACTGGTAAAGAGAATGGTTCTTGTTCATTCCTGCAGTTCATCCACCTGCTTGTTTAACATCATTTACAGATGCCTACTGTGTGCCAAGTCCTGTGCTAGGATGAACATGATGGATGGGTTCCCGTGGCCTCAACAGATGGCTGCCCACAAAACCTCATTAAGTAAGACTCCCAACTGACCTGGCAGTTTATAACATGAATTCTGCAAATCCAGGCTGTCTCCAGAGTCAGCCCATTCCAGACCAGCCTTATCTGTCTGTGTAGCCCCAGTGCCCAGCACTGGGTGGAGGAGTCAACCCCTCACTTGTTGAGCAGGGCAGGGACCTGTGGCTAGCAAATCTCTTTATCTTCCTTTCGCCCGCTTGGCCCAGCTTCTTTTAATTTTGAGATGGGGTCTCACTGTCGCCCGGGCTGTGGTTCAGTGACACGATCTCTGCTCACTGCAGCCTTGACCTCCTGGGCTCAAGCGATCCTCTTGCCTCAGCCTCTCAAGTAGCTGGGACTATAGGTGTGCACCACCATGCTCAGATAATTTCTGTTTTTTTTTTTTTTTTTCAGAGATCGGGTTTTGCCACGTTGCCCAGGCTGGCCTCAAACCGCTCTACTTGCCTCAGCCTCCCGAAAGTGCTGAGATTACTGCGCCTGAACCTGGCCCAACTTCTCATCTCCCATCTCTAGGATGGCCTGTGAGCAGAGGTCAAACAGCCCTCTCACTTCAAACACAGTTTGTGTAGAACCTCATCTAAGAGGTGAAGTCCACTGGTTCCCGTGTGGTCACCTGGCGTCTGAAAGAATGCCAGTAGGCTGATGGGCAGGACTCCCCTCCACAGAAATCTCACACTTTGTCCCATCCCCTCAACCCCTTCTAAATTGAGGATTCAATGATTCTGTAAAGAAAGAGATGATGAGGCCGGGCACGGTGGCTCAAGCCTGTAATCCCAGCACTTTGGGAGGCCGAGGCGGGTGGATCACGAGGTCAAGAGATCAAGACCATCCTGGTCAACATGGTGAAACCCCGTCTCTACTAAAAATACAAAAAATTAGCTGGGCATGGTGGTGCGTGCCTGTAATCCCAACTACTCAGGAGGCTGAGGCAGGAGAATTGCCTGAACCCAGGAGGCGGAGGTTGCGGTGAGCCAAGATCGCGCCATTGCACTCCAGCCTGGGTAACGAGAGCGAAACTCCGTCTCAAAAAAAAAAAAAAAGAAAGAGATGATGACAGAGACCAACACGGACACTAAGATTATGACATAGGGTGAGAAACATGGGATGGGATGGGTGTAAGGGGTGAGAGAAGAAGATTCGATTCAGAGGGGTGGGGGCAAGACCTGAGAGATAAAATTGAAGAAGAGGAGGAAAACAACCCCTCACAACTGGGGGAGATGGGGAAGAGTGGTGCCAGGTATGGGGAGAGGTACCCAAGCAGTCTGTAAGGAACAGTGGATATGAGACCCAGGAGAGAAGGAAAAAGTCAGCTGAGGGTGTTGGCCAGGCAGAGTCCCAAGGGTGGGGCACCTCACCTGGAGGGAACATGAGAATGGCCTGGGGTGACGAGTGGACCGGGAGCGAGTGGGTGCGCTGCACAGAGCTGCGGCTCTGACTGGGCATGCTGTTGCTGCCTCCAGGGTTGGCAAACCACAGGTTCTGCACAGGTCCCAGGAAGAGAGAAAGTAGTGAGTGGGGAAGAGGCCCAGACCCAAGAGTGGTGGAGTTGGTACAGGCATTCTCCCACTCCCACCCCCGCCACCTCTAAGCTGGGCCCAGACGCAGAGGTACAGACATACACATCCCGGGTACTGCCACCCCAGCCCCAAGAGGCCAGGGCCCCTGCTTCCAGGCAGCTCACCTGTCGGCCCTGGCCTCCAAGGCTGGGGCTGGTGAGGGCATGTCGAGGGGAGACACCCCCAATGCCTGAGGGGCTCAGGAGGCCCATCCGGCCGGGTGGGAGGGCCCGGGGAGGCATTGGGAACTGCCGCTGGGTACGCCGGGCCACTCCCATCCCCACAGAGCCAGCTATGGGGAGCGAGTTGGAGCCAAAAGCCCAGCTGTGAGAGAACAGAAGGCAGGGTGTTAACTTATGGAGTTGGGCCCATCTGTCTACCCCTACCTCACCTTCCCCAAGTGGTAGAAGAGAACATAAACCTCCATCATATATTCTGTCCCCATCTGCCCCAAGGGTACGCCTGGAAGGAGATGGGAAGAAGACGAGACTTTCCTCACTGTCCACTCATAATAGTTCTCTAAACTTCAATTCTCAAGGGAGGTATTTCTGTTATTTGTCTGGTGTTAAGAAGGGACTTCTTGCCCTTTGCATACAGGTGAGGAGCAAGACACAGATGAGGGGCCTGCCCATGGGACATGTGTTTCTTAGCTCAGCATCCTACTCTAGTGGGAAATTTTCTTCTGGGAAAGTCCCCCCGTGACTGAATAAGTAAAAATTGGATTCTCAGCCCAGAACATAATCACCCCATTAAGGACTGATCTGCTAACCAGCAAAGGCCTGTGAGGGCAGGTCCCTGTACCCTGGCCACCGCCTACCCTTTCTGCTGCCGGTAGTTCTGCATCTCTAGTGCGGCTTTGCGCGGGAATGTCCGGAGGAGCTTCAGCACTTGCTGTTTCCAGGATAGCAGCCGTTTCTTCTGCGTCTCCGTGAAAGCCTAGAATTGGCAGGACATGGGTGAAGCAGAGAGGGTGGTGCCTCTTTCAGACCTTCCTTCCAGTCTTCCATTCGTTTAAATATTTATCGCCTGGTCGGGTATTTGCCTGTATTCCCAGCACTTCGGGAGGCTGAGGAGGGTGGATCATGCCTGTAATTCCTGTACTTTGGGAGGCTGAGATGGGTGGATCACTTGAGGTCAGGAGTTTGAGACCAGCCTGGCTAACATGGTGAAACCTCGCCTCTACTAAAAATACAAAAAATTAGCAGAGTGTGGTAATGCACGCCTGTAATCCCATCTACTTGGGAGGCTGAGGCAGGAGAATCCCTTGAATCCAGGAGGCGGAGGTTGCAGTGAGCCAAGATCACACCACTGCACTCTAGCCTGGGCAACAGAGCAAGAATGCCTCAAAAGAAAAGATTTATCGCTCATCTACTCTGTGCCTGTGCTAGGCAATTCCGGGATGCAGAGGTGATCATGCCCACAGAGCTTACGGTTTGGTTCTGAGGGAACGGTACACACATAATGATAACTGTGATAAATTATCCCACCCTGAGGGACACTAGGAAGCAAAAGAAACCTAAATAAGAATGAGGGGTTGGTAAAGGTGTCCCCGAGGGACAAATGTCTTTTTTTTTTTTTTTTGATACAGAGTCTCACTCTGTTGCCAGGCTGGAGTACAGTGGCATGATCTCAGCTCACTGTAACCTCTGCCTCCTAGGTCAAGTGATTCTCCTGCCTCAGCCTCCAGAGTAGCTGGGAGGATAGGCATGCACCACCATGCCTGGCTAATTTTTGTATTTTTAGTAGAGACGGGTTTTCAGCATGTTGGGCCAGGATGTTCTCGATCTCCTGATCTCATGATCCACCCGCCTCAGCCTCCCAAAGTGCTGCAATTAGAGGCATGAGCCACTGTGCCCGGCCTCACAAACGTTTGAATTGACAGTTGAAGGGTGAGTAGGAGGAAGGGGTACTATTCCTGACAAAGAGTCTATGCAGGCTGGGCATAGTTGCTCATGCCTATAATCCCAGTACTTTGGGAGGCCAAGGCAGGGGGATCTCTTGAGGCCTTTAAGAGTTCAAGACCAGACTAGGCAATAACGCAATACTCCATTTCTAAAAAAGAAAATTATCATGCCTGTAATCTCAGCACTTTGGGAGGCTGAGGTGGGAGCACTTGAAGTCAGTTCAAAACCAGCTGGGCCAACACAGTGAGACCTTGTCTCTATTAAAAAAAAAAAAAAAAAAAAAAAAAAAGGCGAGGCACAGTGGCTTATGCCTGTAATCCCTGCACTTTGGGAGGCTAAGGTGGGTGGACCATGAGGTCAAGAGATCAAGACCATCCTGGCCAACATAGTGAAACTGTCTCTACTGAAAATACAAAAATTAGGCCAGGCATTGTAGCTCACGCCTGTAATCCCAGCACTTTGGGAAGCCAAGGTGGGCGGATCACCTGAGGTTGGAAGTTTGAGACCAGCCTGACCAACATGGAAAAACCCTATCTCTACTAAAAATACAAAATTAGCTGGGCATGGTGGTGCATGGCTGTAATCCTAGCTACTTGGGAGGCCTAGACAGAATAATTGCTTGGACCTGGGAGGTGGAGGTTGTGGTGAGCTGAGATTGCACCATTACACTCTAGCCTGGGCAAAAAGAATGAAACTCCATCTCAAAAAAAAAAAAATACAAAAATTAGTTGGGCGTGGTGGCACGTGCCTCTAATCCCAGTTACTTGGGAGGCTGAAGCAGGAGGACTGCTTGAACCCAGGAGGCGGAGGTTACAGTGAGATGAGAACACACCACTGTACTCCAGCCTGGTGACAGAGTGAGACTCCATCTCGAAAAAAAAAAAAAAAGAGGGAGAGAGAGAGGAGTGTATACTAGGGCTTTGAGACAAACCCTCTAAAGCCAACACTGGTAAGATGCAAGACTGGAAGGGCTGGCAGGTGCCAGGTCAGGCAAGGCCCCGTGGGCCACATATGACACAACGGTCCTAAGAATGATGGGGCAGCCTTTCCCTTTTCAAGTATGTTAGGAAAGGCCTTACCTCATGAGTCAGGCACTTTTCGATGAGCTGGAGGTAACTGGTGATGTTCTCTTCGTCTGGTCGGGACACCAGCAGCTGGGTGCACACTGTGGGACACAAGAAAGGGCAGGTTAGCCCCTAGTGTGCCCTCTGCCATGTTCCAGCCTCCAGCTGGCTCGTGCACAAGAAGAAACAGGAGATTCAGGCTGGATCAGTACCAACTATTAAGTGCTAGCCATGGTACTTGGGTTATCATGAGGATATTTAACACACTTCCTGACACAATCTTGTCACTACAGACGTTTTTGGCTGAGAAACCTAAATCTCAGTTGAGTCACTTGCCCCAGGTCCAGATCCAGATTGATCTGGATCCAAGTGTAAAGTCTGCGATGTCATGCTGCTTTAGGAAAGGCTGAAGCTGTGATCAATTTCACCATCCCCACCCCCTGGACTTGGGTCCCCTCCAAGAAAAATCAATGGACTCCCCTCAATTGCTTACCCTTTACTACATGCAATTTCTTCTTACACACTGCCCCATCTTCTGCTCAGCCTGGAGATGCTTTGAGGGGAAGGGCTGTTATCCACCAACAGCCCAGATGTGCCAGGGCAAGAGGCCTTGTCACTCTGTCTTGGCTACTGTCTGTAGTGTTCCAGTGTCCCCTAGGCTTTACAAAGCCCTGCTCCTACCATCTGACTTGGATTTGTTCCCTGGTGCCTGGGTTCACTTGGCTTTCTGCCTCAGAATTTTCTGCTAGGCCATGGCTGGTCTCACCTTTACCCATCACCCGTGTAAACTGGCTGGGGATGTCTCCGTCAGCGACGGGGGCCGGAGCAGGCTCACTGCCATCAGTGGGAGCTGGAGCTGGTAGAGGTGGGTAGTTCTCCGCAGGTGGAGGGTCCTTGGCCTCAGTGCCCTTGTCTGTGACGGGGTGGGCTAAAGGAGGCTCAGCACCTGGCAGCGGTGGCTCCCCTGGGGTCCCATCCTTGGCAGTAGGGGTGGTGGCGGCAGCAGCCACGGTGGCCTGGAGGACACTGTAGGCCTTGATAGGAGTGATGATGATCTGCTGTAGCTCCTGCAGAGCGTTTCGTAGGTTCCCACCTTCTAGCACATCCTGGATGGGAGGACACAGGCTGGGGTCACATGCAGACCCTACAATGAGGGACAGAGGATATCTACACAGAGGGTCAGACAGGGCTTGCAGAAGACTGGGCAGGACCCTGGGTTCCAGCACATAGAGAAGGCATGTAAGGGCACCGCAAGCCCACAAACATATAGGCACACATTTCCTCTTTCTCATCAAGGTGAGAGAAAGGCAGTCTAATGTTGGAGTCTCAGGGACCCACCAAGGACAAAATCAGAGATTCAGACCCAGATACTGAGTGGGGAAGAATACAAACAGAAGGCAGTGGCAAGGAAAGGGAAGGAGGAATGCAAATCAGTCAGATCAAATCAAATCAGAAATGGAAGGAAAATGAGTTTAGAAACAAATGGAAAGAAAAGAAAGATCGTGCACACAAAGACACTCTCCTCTACCAGAAAGACCAGTAAGAAATGGAAAAGAAGGCCGGGCGCGGTGGCTCAAGCCTGTAATCCCAGCACTTTGGGAGGCAGAGGCGGGTGGATCACGAGGTCAAGAGATCGAGACCATCCTGGTCAACATGGTGAAACTCTGTCTCTACTAAAAATACAAAAAATTAGCTGGGATTACAGGCACACGCCACCATGCCCAGCTAATTTTTTGTATTTTT